CGGATCGATGCAGCTGTACTCGCTGAAGAACTCGCCGAGATCTACTCTACTCGACTCCTAAGGGGTGGCCGGAACCGAAAAAGTAAATTGACTTGCATTTGATTGAGTGTGTGTTTTACAATAGCCGGGGTTTGATATTTATACCCGGAGTCTAGACATGAATCCTACTCGAACATGACTTGTTACAATCTTTGGCATAAAAATGAAAACATTCCTAATTTAAGATAACTTGGACTCTAATCTTTCCCTTTTTGTAGAGTCCAGCATGTCTCGTCCCAGTGCCGATCATAGCTTCTGTCGTTATCCGCTGGCGCTATCTGAAGAAAGCCGATTCTAGTGCTGCATCCGAATCAGCTGTTTTCGATCTACACGCAATTGATCCCTTGCTGACATGATTTTGGAAGCTTTCGAGCCTCTGAAATCCTTCTCCTAAATTCTGGTGTAAACACATCCCCTAGGTAGGAATATTCCATGCAGAGGCAAGTGTATCTCCAAAAAATTACTAACAGACTCGAATCCTATTTTTTATCCTATTTTTGCAAAAAAATATAGAAAGAAAAATAGAAGAGGAGTTTTCCTTCCGTATTTCATCCCTATCTACAGGCACAAACCCTGTGGTGAGCACGGTGAAACACCTGAACATATTGTCAATGGGTGCACAATAGCTAGACAGTACTGGATGAAGATTGGTGTGGCCGTGCCACTGGACTTCCCAGTGCGGAAGCTCCATAAACATGAACGCCCTAACAGGCCCGGCCCTGGGGGCGGGTGAGCGGGGCGGTCGCCCCGGACCCCCGAGCACGTCTGTCTTCTCCTCTTCTCGCGCGCGCTCCCATCTAGTTTCTTCTCGCCAACTCTAGCCTCGTTGTCGCGAAGGGAAGCTTTTCCCCAGTGGCCGCTGCGGACTCCGACTCCCGGCCCTCAGCTCGTTCTTGGAGTCAACGGCGTTGCAGAGGTGGTTGTTCTCGACAGCAAAATTCGCAACCTTCTTGTTCGCATCCTTCTTGCAGAGAGTCAATAGCCTTGCTAAAGCTCGCCCACTTTCTTCTTCTCGGAGGATATCTCGTTGGCCGCCTCGAGGCCCTCGACGAAGATCTGCTCCCGCTCTTATCTGACAATGACCAGCCGCTCCATCATGCAGCCATTCGGCTAGCTTGATGGTTACTTCTCTAGATTATCTCTTGAAAATAATCACCGAGTAATAAGCATTGTTAGCTCAGCCTGATGCGTTGCTCGTATGTATGAACCCCCAACAACTGTACGTCTGTACCAGTTTGGTTCTCACGTTTTGCCGAGCTTTTTATGAAGGAGAAATAGAAACGTGTGTGTTCTGAAGCAACCGTACTAGCTGATGTGTCTCATTTCGAAGAAAATTAAAAAAAATATGTTAACCAGTATGTAACAAGATAATCCTAATAGCAAGGCCTTACGGTAGATAATAATTTACACATCAGTAAGGTATGTGACTACATTTTTTTTGAAAGCGTATGATGCAAGGAGAATAAGTAATGCATGTTAGGTAACTACTCTTAGCTTAGTATCCAAACTAATACGAGTGATAACAGATGTAAGGGGCCTCATTTTTTAGTCTTGCCCTAGCCCCCAAAATCTCAGGGCCGGCCCTGCGCCCTAACAGCCTACCGCAACAGGAGTTGTGATGTTCATTGCCTTATCACGTTGGCAGCTCTGGAAAGCGATAAATGCACTTTTTTTTCCTCGAACGTGCCGTGTAGCACGTATTTCATTAAGAGGAAGTAGACAACACCAAACCAAATAACAAACGGCTCAACACTAGGTAACCAAAGGTTTTCTATGCGAGGAGAAAAAAGCAAAAAAAAACTAAAGAAAACTGCGACGAAGCCCGGCTACTACCACAAGAGAGACTAAAAGCAGCAACGGGCCAAGCGATAGCGAGCTAGTAAACTAGGCCATGGACAACGATTGGACGATCTATGACGGATACCCAGAGGTAGGCTAAACCTCAAATTCCACCCCCTCCACCAGCTGGATGCCCTTCAATCGCGCAGCCTGCCGGAAAGAGCATCCTGGCTAAACCTCAAGTTCCACCCCCTCTACCAGCTGGATGCCGTCAATCGCGCAGCCTGCCGGGAAGAGCATCCTGATTGCCTTGCGCTTGGACTCCGAGAGAGGCTCGTCGAATACGGCCATGTAGTCATCGAAATCGCCCTCCGCAACGGCCTGCGGCGCCTGATCCTGCTTGCGGACTCCCCATTTTGCCATCAACACGTTCTGTGCTTGCATGGTCGGGTTGGAGGCTCTGCATCTGCTCTTGGCCGCAAACCTCCCGCTACGACGTGGTGGTGAGAATGTGCATTCAACCGCAGGACACCTCCTAGGAACACGGAGACGTGGAGGTTCGACCAAGATCGGCTCCGTGATGGCAGAGAAAAGCTGCGACCGCAGAGACTGCGAGACTGCAGTTAGTGACATCGGAGCTGGCGCCATAGCCGCCGCCACCTCCACGGACGACAAGGCCACAGGCTATGAAGGAAGTCTGGACGGCGACCCCGCGTGGCCCGAGTGCTCCTCGTCCGAAGAAGGGGCCGAGCGAGATGGGCCAGCGAGCTCCACATTGACGCAGTCGGCCCCCCAACTGGAGGAAACATCCTCCAGATGTGAATGCGCGGCCAAGTCAGGCGATCCACGAAGCTCCGTGATGTGCACTTGTGTTCAGAGCGGAGACAACCTCCGTTCAGCAGCAGAGAACTAGACTATCAAGGAGAAAGAAGCCAATAGTGGATAAATGGTGTTCGGTTTTTCACCAAGCATTGCACACTTAATTGTTTTAGCTGTGTATGCAGCACTTTGTATGATCAAAATCAAATGATGTAGGACTTTGTAAACACCTTGCTGGCCGCTTAAGGGCCAAATATAATACAGGTAGGAAACTCCCCCGGTGACATTAAAAAAAAGAAATAATCTCGACATAATATATAGATCAGCCTGTTCGTTTGCTCGTATACGATCGTGGATTATAAACTGGAACAGTATTTTTCTCTCACATCAATCCAGCCAGCAGTAAATAATCAACGATCGTTTACGACGAAACGAACAGGCTGCTGTAATAGTAGGGAGTTGAGCTAAAAAAAAGTTACCTTTGTTAGCTCTCCTCCGAGCAAAACCAACGTGGGAAGTAGTAACGTTGGTCTCATCTCCTAATGACATCCTACGTGTCTCTGTGGAGCTGCTGTACACGTGGTGCGTTGGACACGACCTCACAGACAGCTAGTGAAAGTGAGGTCACCACGAGACGATGTTTGGTGTGTTTTTTGGATTGTCACCGTCGGCGCTGCTGAAAGATCGGGAAATGTCCTCACTCTCCTACGAGTGCACGCCAGGGACGTGAGAATTTATTTCTTCTATTTTAACAAACTAGCAAACATATTCGTGAGTTGTGATGAAATCAATACATCTTGAAATCAGACTTTGTATCACTTGCATGAGTAGTGAGTCCATATCACATATGAGACACGGAGGGCGCAATGGCACTTTGAAAAGTTAAAACGAGGGTCGAAAAAAATCCTTCACTCTTTAATATTAAATATAAATAGATATATAGATATATGAGGAAGGTTTCTTGGTCCATTGTCGTTGACAACGTTCTAATGGAGATCAAACAGACCTAATCTCTCATGTGTCTATATGAGTTAGAGTATTGTGTGACGTGTCTATGCACGGCGGAGCACGATTTCTAAATGAATTAGAATACATGGTGTTTTCATGGACTACTCTCTTGTGCCTGTACGAGTTAGAGCAGAGTGTTTAGGCATAACGTGGAGCGTAAATTCAAAATAAATTAGAATGCGTGTCACGATCATTAATAAATAAATCTCTAGGCCTCAATCCTTACCCATATATATAAGTTAGAGCGGCACACGTGCACAATGAAGAGTTTAATTAAGTATACGGTACAGCTAGTGTCCGGACATCCGGACACGAGCGTCTGTCTGTACGTAGCTCATGCGAGGTGTCCATCTATATGCAGCTCGCATGAATAACCGTGCCGCATGCATGTCGCCTGGTTTTTTTTTTCGCCCCCTACGCATGGACCTGACCGCTGCTTCTGCCCTGACCACCCGGTGCCCGCTTCGTTTTGTGCACGCACGCGGAGACCCCGTGGGTCACCTACCCTGCCTGAAATATATACAATATTTAGATCTACTTTTGCAACATTCAGATAAAACACTTGCAGCATATGTCTAAAACAGATGAAACATTTGGAACATACACTTGCAACATACATGTATAGCCATTATACACATGTCCAACATCCAGATAAAATACTTGTAACGTACGTATAAAACAGATGAAACATTCGAAACATACACTTACAACATATGTGTATATAGCCATTGCACACATGCAACATCCAGATATACTTTTGCAACACCTCGATGAAATACTTGCAACATATGTCTAAAATAGATGAAACTTTTTAACATGCACTTGGAACATACGTGTATAGCCATCGTAACATATGGAACATCCCAATCTACTTTTGCAACATCGATATAAAATATTTGCAACATACCTCTAAAACACATAAAATACTTAAAACATACGTTTGCAACATGCGTTTTCAGCGTAACGTAAACCACCTTGCTACTTCGGCGAATGGTATAATCTATAAATAAATCTTTGAGTCATACATCATCTAGCGATCTTGTAGTATGTCTTATTGCAACCTCGTAGCTTAGGGCAAGAAACCTCCCTTAGACATAAGGCAAGCCCGGATTACACGATTTATATTCTAATAATCTAGCATTTACTACTTTTCTCTAACATTCCTGGAGTCATAACACGGGTGGTTGTAAGCCCATGAGCTAAACAGTTCCATTATCATGGCGGCATAGCCACTAGCCCCCTAGTCATCATATATATAGACGATGTAAGGATGTAATTCATACCACGCAAAAGGCAATGGCTCCGACTTTTGCCCATCTAGCCTCACTTTGCAGGTCATCGCCTTGAGAGGGAAATCACCGGCGGCGTGGGGGAGCACCGATATTGCCAAAGATCGTCACGTCGATGTCGAGCTCCATCTTCCCCGACCGCCACTCCGACGCCATGCGGTCGCGCAGGTGCATCGGCAGCCCCACGCCGCCGCCCCTGGCCACCACCTCCACGTCCTTGGCCCGTCGCTTCTCCGCACAGTCCCACGGCTCCGCACGAGCCCAGCCCAGCGCCACGCCCGCGTACGACACCACCACGTCCGCCCGGTCGAAGCATGTCCTGTTCATCCAGCCAGAGCGTGACGTCTAACGCCGGCGAGACCACGCGGCCGGGGCTGTCCGGGTCGATGCCGTCATAGCCGGCGAGGGCGACCGAGAAGGACCGGGCTGTTGAGAACTTGCACGTGCCAGTAGACGACAGCCCACTTCCCCAGTAGCGCTATCGCGATACACATCGCTATAAACGTTAGGGAGTGGACGCGGTCCTCGTCGCTCATGCGCGACCAGCGGCTGGGTGCCCTGTATCCCCAGACCGGCGGTGCCTCGTCGTCTCGCGGATTGGCAACGGAAACGCTATACTTCAACCGTCAACCGTATGATTTACTTGCCACTGTCAACCGAATTTTCCAGCGTTGGATCTTGACTCCGGCCCGAGAGCTGCCGCTCGATACAGCGTCACGCCGCCCCAACCCTTCGAGTGTTGGATCTGATCGATTGCGTTTCTCATCTCTGGGTGGACTTGCTGCTTGCAGATGCCACGGTACGTGTGCAGCCCGGGGTACGGCCTGTGCGTCGGCCTCCCCGCCGCGACCTCGTCGCCAATGATGATGAAGCACCTATAGCAACTCATGCCGACACAGCAGCAGCAACAACACATGTGGCAGTACCATGTCTCGGAGTACCAGCCGAGGCCGGACGCTACGCCTTCCTCGGCGTCGGTGGCGGCAGCGTGGCACAACATTTCGAAATTTTGTGAAGATTTTGTATTTTTTGAAATTTGTGAACAATTTGACACATATTTCACTGATGTCTGGAATCCATATAAATAATTTGTAAATTTTTTTGAAAAATTTGGTATATATTTGTGTTATTCTCGACTTATATCACTCTGTTTAATAAATTACACTGAAAAAATCATTGTAAATATAGTATTAAGACAATATAAATATAGCTATATAGAGACATAATTCAGTTGACAGGAGGAACCAAAACAACGTAGACGTATCCATTTGCAAAGATGTCGTGGTAGTCGAAGGCCGGCGCCGGCTCATCTACGTCGTCGTCGACGCTAAGACCCATATTGTTGCTTGATCCGAGAAATCAACTAGAACGATCGATCGATGACGCGGACAAGATGATATGCAACTATATATCTCACGAGTCACGAACTCGTCAGATCACGACCGTGCGCTATTGTGAAACGTACGTGTGATCGATCCTGCGCCGAACCGCTAGCTAGTACAACGAGTAGAACACGTTCTCGGTTCTCCGATCCGTATTATACACGATGGAACGAGGGAGTCTACAAAGCCTGGTGTGTCGTCGACTAGTCGGCCGGGCTTCTCTCTCGTGTGCACCATCGATCGATCGTCGGCCGTCGACGTGCACCGCAATGGAACATTACCGATCTCTGGCCTTGTTTAGATTCCAAGTTTTTTCACTCTCTCTCCATCACATCAAATCTTTGGATACATGCATGAAGTATTAAATATAGATAAAAAAATAACTAATTACACAGTTTGATTGTAAATTACGACACGAATCTTTTGAGCCTAGTTAGACCATAATTGGACAATAATTGTCAAATACAAACGAAAGTGCTACAGTGCCGAATACTGATTTCTAACCCTGAACTAAACAAGGCCTCTGAACGAATCCATGGGCGCCAACGTCGTCGTCGACAACTGGTGGACACGTTTCCTGTGGAGGCATCCTAACCTGCAGCTGGCGCTGATCCCGGCCATGGTGGGAGCCTTGCTGCTCCTCATCTGCTGGCAGATCTACACCCCTCCCGAGTTCTCGGTGACCGTGTCAAGACCACAAGGCCTAGAGCCCACGTTCGACGTCACGCTCCGGGCCAAGAACCGCAACGTGTGGGAGCACTGCTTCAAGCCAGGGCCCAGCAGCGCGGTGGTGGCGTACGCGGGCGTCCCGCTCTCGCGCGCCGACCTCCCGGGGTTCTGCGTGCCGGGGATGAGCGTCGCCAGGGTGCGCTTCGTCGCCGCGGGCGCCGGGCCAGGGATGCCCGAGTCGCTGTACGAGAGGCTGGAGGCCCAGCGCGGGAGGCGGGAGCGTGTCCAGCTGACGGTACGCGTGAGGCTGGACGAGGACCGGTTGCTGCCGCACCACGTACCGGGCGCCGCTATGGCCATGCTCGCCGGCGACGCCGAGCTCCGAGCTTCGGCCATGGCGCCCCGCCCCTCCCTGGTCCAACCGCCGCTACCATTGCCCGGCCTCCTTCTCCACTGCCTGGCATGCCTGCCTCCCCCCCGGCTAGGCCCTTCTATGTCCCATCGGAGTTGCCTTCTTCTATCTCCGACGACCTCCTCTTTACCGCAACCCTAGTCACTGTCGTCGTCGTCTTCGTCTCCGGTGCTCACAGATCTAAGAGGAGGCCTACCTTATCGCCGTCGCCGGAGGGGAGGGAGGGAAGAGCTCACCGCGGGCTATTGGTATTTATTAACTTGTTACTTGTTTAAGTTGCCACATAATGTTTGTTGACATTTCTTAACATCACTTTTGCTAAGTTGGCATCCCTAACTATGATGCCAAAAATGTTTGTTGGTACTTTCTAGCGTCACTTCTGGAATAACACTAAGAAGTACTTTATTATTTTATGTGACTAGAAAGAATGTAAATATGTATATGAAGGGATCTGCAAGCTCACAAATATTTACCATTGTAGCATTTCAGGTATCGTTATTTATATTTTTATCATAGAAAATGTCTGTCGGATAGAATATATTGATAACTTATACATACGATGTAGAGATAAACCATAACCATCACTCTGCTCACAACAAGGGTAAATCAAGAGATAAATGTATATGAATGGTAACGACAACTGATCATTGATCACTCAAAGTACTTCTTTCTATGGCATTAGCATGAACAAGTAGATATTAAATAAATAATTTCTAAGTCATTCTTAATCACAAGTCAAAACATAATATGATTAGTGTAATTATACTTAATAATCATGGCTAAGATCAACTTCATATCTACACAAGGTATATTACCAAGGAAGATCAAGAATAGAATATGACTTCCTTCGTAACTATATCCTACTTGACCTATATTCGAGGAGTGGACTACAAAGGACTCAACGGGAGTGTCACATCCGCGATCTACCATATGGACTGGAATATAGGGTGCATCCGTAGGTAAACAACGTATAAGCACTACGCTTACACAATGTCGACCACTCACCCCTTGTACTTTGGAGCGAGCGCTATACGAACTTATGCTTGAACATGATGATAATCTAGCTATATTAAGCATATAACCAAAGTAGATAATGAACATGATAATTAGGAACATGAATATTATTAAGAACAATGTCGAATCAATTATAGCAAACATATGAATAATGAAAGATGCAAAAGAGGATACAAGGGGCTATACCAAACCACGCTCTTGATAAGATCAGAAATCTAAGCGAAGCTTGCCTCCCTCTAGATCTAACCTAGCTAGCTATGCCCTAAAATATGGTGGAGCTCTGTGAATGATTAGGGTTTCTGATTTCTTGAATGACTTATGCCTCAGGAAGGGGGATAGGGGTTGGTATATATAGGGCGGAGCATCAATTCTGAACCCTTGGATCAAACCGACTTGAAAGAACGGCGTAGATGCAAACCCTAAGGCAATGGAGGACCAACGTAGCGAGACGGAGGCTGACAGGTGGGCCCATAGGCCGGCCGCCCTGCAGGTGGGGCCGGCCCTTCCAGTGTCCTCTGGAACCTTCCGAAGTTGTTTTCGTCGTGGATAAACACGATTAATTCTGACGTTTGGACCCACCTTGACGGTTTTCTGGATAAACTCTACTGAAAACACATATTCATCAAAACTCGTGAAATTTGTTAGTTTAAACCCCTAAGCCCATGTTGGTGATTATTTTATGTCCTTACATAAGTTATATTGACAATTTATAATGGTTGCCCCGAGGTCGGGGTCGGGGAGCACGGGGTTGTCGGGGTCACCGCGGAGCGCGGGGTCGGACACGGTCACGAAAGTAGATTTTCCATTTCAAAATCCCTTCTTAAATATCACCTGTTTGGATGTGATATTCTTATAATCTATTGCAGTCCAAACGGGGCCACTACTCTCCTGTTCTTAAATCTACTAGGGACGACCTCTCGCCGCATGCGCGTTCACACTTCATACTGGTGCAGCAAGCTTCTCATGGACTCCACACACACTACGCAAGCTGCCCGTTGAACACGGCACGAATTAATATGGCTCTGTTCGACTTATCACTGCTACTGTTGATTTGTAGAACTAATTTGTTATGAAAGAAAAATAATATTTTATAGCTGAAAAAGTAGGACTGATTCTGACTTATAGGCTCAAATCAACAGAGCCATGATTCTCCCACAGCCCAGATATTATTCTTTTTCCCTGTTTGAATTTATTTATAAGTTGAATATACAGTTGGAAAGAGACATTTCAATTTTCTTGACCTCATACTCATAGCGACTTTGACTTAACCTTGCCACACTCACTCACACCGGACGGACCAGCTCGCCAGTCCAACTCATGAACTCTTGAACGTTCGCTGCCCGCGACACGAGCCACACGTGGCACAGAGATCCCCGCGAGCGGCCAAATCCGGCCATGGCGCGCACGCACCAGCTCAACATCCTTGCGGCGCTCGACCGCGCCAAGACGCACCAGTACCACCTCGCCACAGCCGCGATTGCCGGCACGGGATTCTTCGCCGGAGCCTACAACCTCTACTCTGCATCACTCATCTACAGGCTGCTCGGCCGCGTCTACTTCGCTGATTCCGCGAGGCCGGGCACGCTGCCGCCCGATGCTGCGGCTGCGCTGAACGGCACCGTATACTGCGGAACGTTTGTGGGCCAGCTCGCCTTGGGCTGGCTCGGGGATAGGATTGGCCGCCGGCGCGCATATGGCCTCGCGTTGGCGCTCATGGCCGTCTGCTCCGCCGCGTCCGGACTATTCTTTGGCCGCACGGCGAAGGCCGTCGTGGCGACGCTATGCTTCTTCCGCTTCTGGCTCGGCGTCGGAGCCGGCGGCGGGTACCCCCTGAGCGCGGCCATCATGGCGGAGTACGCCAACAGACGCAAACGCGGCGCATTCCTCGCCGCCGTGTACGCCATGCAGGGCATGAGCATCCTCCTAAGCAACGCCGTCGCTCTGGTCGTGTCGGCTGCTATGCCAGAGGCCGACTACGTGTGGCGTACCATCCTCATGGCCGGGGCAGTGCCGGCCGCGCTCGCCTTCTATGTGCGCATGAAGTTGCCGGAGACTGCTCGGTACACGGCGCTCGTCGCCGGAGACCTGAGGAGTGTAGCAACAGACATGTCACTAGTGTTATGCGCCACCATACAAGAGCAGGAAATCGACGCCTCAGTTAGCGGCGTCGACGACAAGTGGGGCCTCTTCTCGGTGCAGTTCTTGAGGAGCCATGGCCTCCACCTCCTGGCAACCTCGAGCGCTTGGTTCCTCCTCGATGTGACCTACTATAGCCAGAGCATCCTCCAGAAGGACCTCCTCGGCAAGCTTGGATGGGTCTCCCCTTCCCCGGTGGTGACCATGAGCGCCGTCGAGGAAGTCTCCCGACTCGCCCGCGCGCAGGCTTTCATCGCACTCTGCGGCGCCATCCCGGGGTACTGCTTCGCGATCGCCCTCATTGACGTCCTCGGCCGGCGGCAACTCCAGGTCGCCGGTTTCTTGGTGATGACGCTGTCCATGATCGCCCTCGCGGCGCTCTACGAACACTGGACATCGCACATCGCCGGCTTCATGGCGCTCTATAACGTGGCCTTCTTCTTCGCCAACGTCGGTCCCAACACCACGACGTTCGTCGCGCCCGCTGAGCTCTTCCCGGCACGGCTACGATGCACGTGCCACGGCATGGCCGCGGCGTCGGGGCGGGTTGGTGCGGTTCTTGGGGCGTTCGGTTTTTTCCCCAAGAAGGGCGCCGACGGCGAGTATGCGGCGGGCATTGGTACCCAGAACGAGCTGTTCGTGCTGGCGGGCACCAACTTCCTGGGCATGCTGATGACTCTGTTCGTCCCGGAGACGAGGGGCACGTCGCTGGAGGTGCTGTCCAAGGAGGTCATCTACGAAGCCATCGACGATGCCGCCGGCAATTAAGCTAGTGATTCAGTTAATCATGGGTACTCAACAAAACATGCACGGGGCTATCACTTTGGTTGATGTTATCAGAAAGTTAAACAATCGAATTGGAGCTGTACTAATCTCTATTTGTCTCCAGACAACAAACCTTGCGGCGAAATAGCCAAATAGCAGTGTCTACTCGGTTTTGGATGTTTCACGCCCGAGGGCACAACTGTGCTCCAAAACCAGACAAGTCTTGCTTGGAAAAGCAGATGAATAGAGGAAAAAAAAAACACAGAAATACGATGTGAAGGTACAGAGAATTGGAAAAACACATGAAACGAATAGCAGGTGACGTTTGGAATATAGGAATCCAAACATGGGAATCATATTAGCATAGAAACAATAAAAGGAAAATAGTAATTCATTAACTAATGGAAAAAAATTGATTGTACGCAATATCTGATCTCTAGCTCTTTTATCTTGTCAACAGGTCCACGGTCCGTGGACTAAGTCAATGCAAAATTCACCACTTTCTTATCCCTTGATGTGGTTCTTATCCTCATCCCATCGCTCTCTTGCATTTCCCGTTGGCCGTTGCTCATGTCTCTCGTTTCTTGTCGGATCAGTATGAGTTCTTATCCTCATCTCGTTCCTCTCTAGCATCTCCCGCTCATGTCTCTCGTTCCTTGCTGGATCAGTAGGAAAAAGGATTGATTGAGGCATGCAACATTGACCGAAGTGAGATGGTGGTTGTGTGCTTGCGACTTGCGAGTCGTTAGGTTCAGCGCGTTCGAGCCTCCGACCTCCGTCGACAGTCAATGGAGTACAGTGAGATGGGGACTGCCACCGCGGTCCGCGGCTGCTCAAGAGCAACGGCACCAATTGGTGCACCGTGGAGGGACGCCCGATAGCATGGGATTTCAATGGCGCAAGTGTTTCTCCGGCTGCCTCTTTGCCTCTAGCTTCCACGAAGGGCCTTGTTTGTTTCGCTGAAATTTAGCTTATACTAATTTGTTGTGAAAGAAAAAACAGTGTTCGTTCGCTGAAAAAGACTGCTGAAGTATTGCTGAAGAAAATCTTTAACTTGGGGACTGCATAAAATTCCTACGTTTTGTGGAGCTGAAGGATCCGTTTCAGAGAAATGGGTACAAGCGTTTCTTTTTTCCAAACGATAACTGACGTAAGCAAAGCACAGGGATAGATTTCCTTTGAAATTCATGTGAAAAAATTACTAAGATTATTATACCAAATAATTA